AGAGCAGCCCTGAGGAAAAGGACTTGGGAGTGCTGGTGGATGAGAAGCTCAACATGAGCCGGCAATGTGCACTGGCAGCCCAGAAAGCAAATCGTACCCTGGGCTGTTATCAAAAGAAGTGTGGCCAGCAGGTCGAGGGAAGTGATTCTGCCCCTCTACTCAGCTCTTGTGAGACCCCACCTGGAATACTGCATTCAGCTCTGGAGTCCCCAACACAAGAAGGACATGGAGCTGCTGGTGCGGGTCCAGAGGAGGGCCACAAAGATGATCCAAGGGCTGGAGCACCTCTGCTATGAAGACAGGCTGAGAGAGTTGGGGCTGTTCAGCCTGGAGAAGAGAAGGCTCCGGAGTGATCTTATAGCAGCCTTCCAATACCTAAGGGAAAGCTGGAGAGGGACTTTTTACAAGGGCATGTAGTGATAGGACAAGGGGCAATGGATTCAAACTGAAAGATGGCAGATTTTGATTAGATACAAGGAAGAAATTTTTTACATTGAGGGTGGTGAGGCACTGGAACAGGTTGCCCAGAGAAGTTGTGGATGCCTCATCCCTGGAAGTGTTCAAGGCCAGGTTGGATGAGGCTTTGAGCAACCTGGTGTAGTAGAGGGTGTCCCTGCCCATGGCAGGGGAGTTGGAACTAGATGATCTTTAAGGTCCCTTCCAACCCTAACCATTCTATGATTCAAAGTGTTTTCTGGAAGCACTGTAACAGACAGAAGCATAGTACATGCAAAGCAAATTTGCCGGTAGTATTCTTCTCTTACCATTAGTTATAGACATGTTGAGAGAGTACTGGTGTCTGACTGGAGGGTGCCACATTGCAGCTTTCACCAGCACAGATAAAGGGCAGGGATGTGAAATGAATGTTTCTCATCAGCATGTGAAATTTGAGTAATAGGTGCCTTCCTCCTTCCTGCACCTTTCCCTGACGCCAAGAAATACTTCTTGTATCTGGCAAGTAAACACAGGGAAAGTTTCAACGTCCGGAGTATCTCCCTAGTTGTACTAAGCTACAGAAGATGTTCTTGGTTCATTACCTCGGACCAGTAAAGTGAAGGGTTTTACAGTTCAATGTCATACAGTTCTTTTTATGCTGCAGAGAAAACAAGGTCAGGAATACAGCTATATTAAACCCAAAATTGCAACTTGAAAGCACGCAAAGAAAGTTTATTGTAGTTTTCTTCATGGAAACCAAAGTGTGGCCAACAGCAGCAAGAACTCATAACTTACATGTTCCAATCATGGTCTGAGATTCAAAGGAAAACTGGGTAAAAACAACCATTTCAAACTCTTTCCAAAAAAACAGCTACATATGATAAATTTGGGAGTGAAACTAAGGAATTAAAATGCATATTTGCATCCTCCTACCTTTCCTCTTTACATCTGCAGCTTAAATAGGCTTCTTTGGATCTAGCAGATTATCTGCTAAAATTTCTTTTAACCTACATCAAGATTATAAAACCATACAAGTAAAAAAATATATTTTTTTTTTTACCAGTACCTCTGCAAATGTAGTGCTTATCTTCAGCTTCCCATGACACCCAGGAAGACCTTGGTCAAGGATTCAGTTCTAATGCTAGGTCAAGTTTCAACACTATGTACTAAAGGAGGTATATCAGTCTGTCCTCACTGGGGATCAGCTATGCAACAGCTTCACTCTAGAAGCTGAAATAGATGGAAAATCCATTATTTTAGCTTTATGGAAACAAGAATAATCTCACCCCACAGTTTTCCAGAATCCATTTAAAACCAGTTACT